TTTGCCCTAGCTGGTTAATCAGTGCATGATCACCAACTGAGACTCCCAAACAGTTCCAGTCTAGTGAACCCCTCCTTTCTTCATGTATAGGTTGGCCCTCAGGCCTGAGATCTCCACAGCTGTACCAGAGACTCAAATAGGATAGAGGATCATCAAGCTGAGGGATCAGTCCCCCAGGGGAATGTCATATCAGAACCCAGGATGTGGTCCAAACTCAGGCTGTTGATATGAAAGGGGCCTGGTAACGAGAGAGTTAGTGGCCAAGAGCAGCTGAGAGGACAGGAGGTCTGAGGATGCAAAACAGGGTAAAGAGTAACGCATGTTGGGAGCTGTCTCTAGTTGTCTCAACTTGGGCAGGGAATGCCTGAGGAGCAACTCCAGAGGGGACCAACACAACTGTTTTTGGTTTGGGTTTGGGGGTTCTTTTGTTGTTTGCTTTACTATAATAATTCCAATTTGCTCAAGTTTTGTGATCTTTTCACTTTCTTTAAAGTAAGAAGGGGAAAAAGCTGTGGTATACTTTTAGCTGAAAATTTCGTCTACTACCTTCTAGGACTCATGGCGTTACTTATTAGCATTGTACTTCTTGATATAGGGCTGAAGAAAGAGACTTTTTGTTAAGAAAAATCAATAAGCTATTTAGATGGATAGAGAAAAGAACTAAGAAAGAGATATTGAAACAGTTGCATAAGAATTAAGACACAATCTGTGGATGGAATGAAGCTAAGGAGAGAGAAGATGAGAGAAGGACTCCAGATACCAAGGTGGAAATAGAAGATGCCAATTTGTCATAAATGACTCATTCCTTTTTAAGAACTAGAAAGTTTAAAATCCAATGAAATAGTCTGTCATTTGTTACCATGTAGTAAGTCTTTGTCTCTCAGTGATCACAATAGCTCACAAATCTCTGGTAAAAGTCTAGGTTATACCTTGGTGGAGGGGACTTGTAGGTGGGGATTCTCAGGTAAAGCGAATGTGACCCACTCTGAGGGCGTTCTAAGAGGGTATCAGCAAAATGCAAAGTGTGACATGAATGTTCCACAGAAGCTAGAAATTTGCTCTGGAGAAGGTGAAGAAAAATATAGTCTTTGGGAATTCACAGAAATCTTGGAGAAGGCATTGAATTCATCTTAGCAAGTAGGGATGTGTTAAGCCAGTTTTAACTAGGCGCAGCATTCTACATATTACTATTGAGAATGATTTAGCAAGTGTATTCAGAAGTGGTGAGCAAATCACATTAGGTTTTCTCAATTCGTCAGGGAATTGTGTGATATAACAGAAGTTTTCAATATTAGAGTGGTTAAGCACTAGCACGTAGAAAAGAAGAGGGGCAGAGCAGCTGGTGTGCCACCGAAACGCATGTAATCTCTAAATCCTCCTCTATCATGATGGAGTGTCAAGTAAGGCAGAATTTTGAAAAGAGAAATCAGAAATACAGAACTATGTTCATAGTTCAAGAAACAAGTCTCCTTAAAGCAGATTTTGTTAATTTAGGAAGAATTGTTTGAGCAGTATGGTGCCCATCAAGATTGTCTGAGAGAAGTGGACCTTCGTTCCCCAAAAGGAGTTTCATCTTGCATAAAGGAGGCTTTGGGCAAGGGGATCCAGAGGACAATATCCAAACTTGGTTGTTCATATTTCTGCTTGTTGGGCAAGTTGAGACTTGAACCGTTAATATGAAAAATCAGACTTGAAGCTATTTGCAGCCTGAGCTGTAAAGAGGCTTCTACCTGTCATGAACTCAATTCATAGCTCTTACTGATGTACCCTTAGAAAAGAGACTGTGCTTTCCAAGGAATCGTTTTCTGTTCGACTCATGGCAGAAGAAAAATGGAAAAATGCTTGTAGAGGAAAAAGCCCTTTGGGGCAAGAAAGACCAAAATTCGAATCCAATTCTGCCTCATCCTAACTTTAATGTTAGGATTAAACAACTACTGAGGCAATAATGCAAGCAGTCTGTGAACAGTGAGAGAACTAGAAACTCAGAAGAAAACATACATTTTTGTTTTCTCCCTTTTATAGAAATATTATTTGTTTTGTGCAAAAACAAAATTTTGAACCATAGAATTTTCCCCCTAGTATATGATAATGAATGAAAGCTTCAGTCCTCATTGGTATACCTTCCTAAATTCTGTTGAATCTATCTAATATTAACTAAGCACCACTTCTTAAAAATTCAGAGCCTAGCCTACTACACTACTTCAAAATCTACTTCTCTAATCTTAAATGACTTAAGTAAAAGGTTTTACAAACTTTACCTGTTCATTGGAAAAGAGAAGCTGCTAACTTTAATTTCTCCACAACTTCTGCTATTTTTACCTAAACTAGTATTGATTTAAAAAGAAAAACACAAAGACTGAACTATGAATCAAAAGCAGAGTTGGTAAAATCTCTGGAATTTCTACTCCCTTAAGTGATTTAACTCAGCTTAAAGTTGAAAAGGCTTCTAAGCCTTGTTAGAAATATTATCCAGTTCTAGTCACATTATTATCAGAACATTTTGCCTTGCTCTAAGTACTTCCACAGAACCTGTTCTTGGCTAAACATATTTTTTAATTGAGTTTTCCATTGTTTTAATTTAGATATTCTGTTCAATATTTTAAATCACAATCTGTAGCCCCCTGGGAAAATTCGTCTTTTTTTTCCTTTCCTTCTTTTTTAGCATTTATGAATCTTCCTCTGCCTGTTGTGAGATTTCATTTCTTGAATTTATCCCCAGAGTTTTCAATTAAGGAAAAAATGGACTCAGGTGCTTAAGTGATATTGAGCAACTGCATATACACCCAATAGAAAGGTTTTATAAGAGATTAAAGCATCTTCTTAAAATATAAAATGAAGAGAAAAGCCTATTTCTAGTCAAGTAAATTGAAAATAATACATTTTAAAGTATAAGGGGAGTAGAACATTTAATTTTACAACCCACCACAGGAATATATGGAATGTCCCCCAAACTTACTATGTATTTTAAACAAATCCAGAAATATTTTCTGATTACTAGTTGATTATTCTAAGACCTCTGGATTTACTCTAAGCAAAACAATCTTTCTTTCTCATAAATCGAGTTATCATCTCACACAGTTGATTTAATGTCTAGTTGATAAAGAACTCACATGTGGAAATCCACAGCAGTCTAGTTAAAGTAGAATTTTTGTTCCCAGTCCTAATTGCAGATTTTTCTGCTTGCCCAGTAGATAAAATTCTGAGAGTATTCCCTTCTTTCTCAAGCTTTCAATCGGTTCTTTGTTTCTGTACTTTACTTCAGAGACTATGAAGAACAATATTCAAAAGACCTTCCATTTTCACCAAATTAAAATTTCACGAGAAAATAATGGGTTCCACTGATGATGCATAATGAAAAGTCCGAAAAAACCAAAAGCTTTATAAAGAAGGAAGTCACAGCCACAGCCACGTAACGGTTAAGTCAGGCTTTAGAATGACAACCCCAGTGTCCTTTCCTCTAAATTGAATGAACCCTGAGGACTGTTCAACCTTGTGTCCTCGAATTTCTTAGTGGAAATAAACTACAGTTGCCCAATGTAGTAACCCACTTCCCTAGCTGACTTCCTTACTTCCTTATCAATGTTTCCAAGGATCATCTCCCAAATAAACTACTTATACTAAATATTTGTCTTAGAGTTCGCTTCTGGGAGAAACCAAATAAAGATGCAGTCTCAGTACCTGGCAATTTCACATCATCTGTCCCCATCTCCTGCCTCCTCAGAAACATACATGGTCCTCCCAACCTCTTTAGTGCACCGAATGCACTGCTCACCAACCTGAAAAGTCACTGATTCATGTGCCATGTTCTCCCTACCATCAACCCTTGCCCTTCCTGTGCTCATGCTCTTAAGACTGTTCTTTAATGAGAAACTGAACCAATAAATTAGACCATGATATTCAGATGAAGCAATTTGTAGAAATAGCATAGTAGGAAAATCAAATGACTTATGCTAGGTTTGCCATTCACCAATTTGGTGTCCTCAGTCAAATAACCCATCAGATTCAAGTGTTTCAGCAACATGTGAAAGTTGTCAGAATGAAAATGGAGTTGCAAACATTTAAAAAAAAATCTGACAGACCCAGAAATGGCCATGAAGAGAGGGTTCTTCTGCTAGCATGCCTGACAAAAGCTACTACAGAAAACTACAAGGTCACAAGCATGTGCAAAAGCCATGGAAACCTTATACCAAAAATAAATATTTCTACAATGACAGCAACTGCCTATCCAAACTTGGACTGATGTCACCTTTGTTACTGATTTTTGTAGCTAAGGATAATTATTTCAAAATTATCATGTAATCCTCCTTATTTTTTCCTCCAAATATCTTGGTTGTCCTTTACTTCCCTTAATATGCATGCGAATAGTTTACTATAGCATATGTATATCCACTCCAATACTCTATGCCCAAATAAATTTATTTTTCTTTTAGGAGCCTCTCTATTTAGTTTGAGAAATGAAATGAAGATAATAATACTTAACTGAAAATTGCAATGAGTTAAAGGGTATAAAAGTCTTTGAGAACTGGAAAATATAGAATGAACAGGACACCATGTCAAACAACCTTCCCATTTTAAGATTTGCCGCCAATGACAGTGGTGCCTAATGTTTCAAAGCTCAGACCTTCAAAGGTGAAAAGGAACTTGGGAATATAGGAGACCTAATGCATTGCTGATAGGAATAAAAATTGGTGCACCTATTCTAGTAAGCAATCTGGGAGGATTTCATCAATTAAGTACACCTCGAACTTTAGGATTAAACAATTCTAGTCCTGTGTATATATTCCAGAGAAATTCTCACAAAGGTCCACAAGGGGTCACATGCAAGAATGTGCATCACAACAGTTGGTACAAGAAAGCAACCTAAGAGACCAAAGCTGGGCAGGTAGATAGGTAAAATGTGATGAGACTCCACCAGGCAGCTGTGAGATCACAATACACTAGATTTCTATAGAGCAATGTGTGTAAAGCTTTAAAAACAGAGCTGAGTAGATAAAAAAATATAACAAATGTAAACGATACCATTTACATTTATTAACTATATATGCAGACAAAACAGTGTACATCTTTAAAACATATATGAACAAAAGATATACATTAAATAAATACGAATGTGTGCCTACGGCAAGGAAGGGAAGGTAGGAATAAATGATGGTCATTAATCAACAGGTATATATGAGGGGGGTTTGCCCAAACTTACGATAGAAATCTGCCATGAACTGAGGAGTGTAATCAAGTCACCCCTTTACGCTGGAGTTGAAAGATGACTGCATAAATGACTACACAAATGACTGAGTAAATCATTATCATCTAGTCTTAGAATCAGATTACCTCGGTTTGAATTCTGCCACTGCCACTTACTAGCTTAATTTAACCATTTGGAGGAGCCTTTCTTCACAAAAATAAAATACGAATAATAATATTACAGACATCGCAGGCTCATTGTGGAGGTTAAATTAAATTCATGTAAAGCACTTGGTGTGGCACGTTGCTCATGATAAGACCACAGTGAATGTTAGAGATCATTACTAATAATCTAAAGTGATGCTTCACACAATTTAGCAGGTTGATAAATAAGTGGTTTTGGTTGGGGGAAGGAGAGATGAGCAGAGAGCTTTGCTGAGGCTCCTTTGCTTCTCTAACACCAGCAAAGGAGACGTCGATAAGTTTATGTTTCCAGTGGCCAAATAATAGCTGAAAACGAAACATTCTAAAATGGCTATTGGAGAATGAAGGAGCCTCGATGCTCTTCTATAAGCCACTCTTCCTGCTTAGGTTTGGGGGATGGGATTGGGTAACAAAGCATGGTTTAGGAGCACTGTGCCTCAGAGATGGCTCCAAGGGGAACAGGGACAATGTGCAAAGAATGAATGAACAGGTTTTCCCAAGACTCCTTTACCATCAGGGGTTCACTGTCCAGACCGCTTTTATTTTTTAATGTGTGTTATCCTAGGCTTCTCAGATGAACAGAAAAAGGAAATCACTTACAGGAGGCTAGGACACACTGCTGGGGATGACAAGTGGGAAACAAATTGAAGATGGTCAAGGTGGGCACATAGTGTGCCTGTAGGGGACTCAGGATTATCATCATGTATAGGTTTGCTCTATGGTCTCTGTTGCTCTCAGAATTTTGGGTACAAACTGACTAAAAAGTAGCCTTCACAAGAATCATGTGGCGACAGGCAGAGAGACAATGGCATCCCAGACACTCCAGTAACACAATGTTCATCAGCATTGGGTTGCTCCTGGGACATAGTCTGTCCCAGCAGCACAGAATCCCAACAGAACAGGAAAGCAGTGTTAGTGATACAAAATACGAACTTTCTGGCGTTCAAATCTTACTAGTGAACCTCTGAATATTAGTATCTTCTGAAAGCTAATTATTTACTTTGCTAGAAGAGTGTTTTATTAATGTAAAAAAAAAAGTGAAGTAAGAGGGGAATAACAACCTGACTCAGTTCGTAATGTATGCATTAAATAAAATTCGTATTGAAAAATAGTCACAGCCATTCTTCTATTTACCCATGATTCTTCTTTATTTGGCTGCTAAGTATAGGGGAATGTTAGTATTGCTGTCAGCTTGATATTAGATAGAAGGCATTAAAGGCTTAAACAGTGGTGCAAGAAGCTGTAGGTAAATCTCTCCTATGCTGGCTGTTAGCAGAGCACTGCGATGCTATATAACTGCAGCAAACTTTTTTTTAGTTCTGCTGCACTGCAGCTCTTAAAGGGAGCACACATTCTGGAAAAAAAAAAAAGTTAAATCTAGCAAGTGGTTAGCACCAGCATTCCAAAAAACTTCAGCAGCCTGTGTTTTCAGCCTCTGCTCCAACTTCATTGCTGCAAAATAAGAGAATATAGTAGTCAGGTTAAGATGAATAAATTTAAAAATATACACCTGAAAACTATACACTGATATTTGGGCATAGCATTGCCTATAAAAAAGTGGTTTATACTATAAGAAAAGTTTATTTTTATTCCCTAAGTAGATCCTTCCTTGTTTCACTATTACTGGCATAATAAAGACACACAGCTGTACCTTTGCATCAGACTCCAATCTCTTGGAGCAGACCAGTTCTGGCCTCTTACAAAGCATTATGACGGTTTTGAGGGGTTGGGGGCACCTTAAGAAACAGCACTGCTATATCCCACCCATTATCTGGCTGATGACTTCACTCTTGCATTGACTGCACCATTCCCCAAAATGCATCATCTAACAAGGAGGTAAAGTGAATAGGGACTGAATTAAATCCCAGCTTTTGCAAAAGGGAACATTACAAAAGACCAAGACCAAATAATCTCTTGCTTTTTCTTCATATATTGATTTGCTTGGCCTTACAATTTTGCTGTGTGGTAGAGGAGTGATTCCAATAATTTCTTTACCCATTCAATCTCTGTTCCTATATGATAAGGTTGGACTGTCTGGAACAGATAAGATAAACTTAACTGAGTGGGAGATGGGTATTGCGTACTGTGAAGGCAGATTGCACAGAAGAGAGTAGAAAAAAAACATCAGAGATGAAGCAAGAAGAAAAATTTAGTTCTGAGAAATTTAGTTCTAAGACATGACTCTGATAGAACAATGTGATAGAATAACACCAAATGGAGGAAATGACCAGAGCTTTCTATTTCCAGGTTCTAACTCATAATGAACAAGGGAGCCCTCCAAAATTCCCAGTAGAAAATAAAGGAGGTCAGTTGCCTTTCTGCAGGCAACTTTCTGTGCTATGCCCTTAGCCAGATCATGAGGTGAAGAAGTCGTGGTGGTGACTTGGAGCTGGCTCCTATGTGCAAGGTGTATGTCCTGGCCAAGCAGCTAAACAGGATTGTAAAATGTGGTTACACTCTGCATTATTAGAAGAAAGTACATTGTAGATGAAAAGAAGGAGACAGAGAAAAGCACTAACACAAGGGGTGGCTCCATGATTGCTCTGGTTTATTCTGGCCATAGAAAATCAACAGGCAAAAAGTAAGAAGTAAGCTGTAGCTTTCATCGTCTAGAATTCTCTGAAGCCCTGGAATAAAGTGAGGAAGTGACTCAAGCACATCTCCTCGTTAATTATTCTGATAAATAAAAATTACCATTATTTTGCTTTATCTGAAAGCACCAACATGATTTTTCTGAAAGTACCAGCATTTAATAGTTAATATTACAAGAGATTTAAGGAGATGATCATCATTTGGCTAATACTTTTTAAGTGCCATGTATCTTATACCCTAAGCACTTTACATACATTAAGGCACATCTTCACAATCATTTGATTCCATTTTTCAAAGAATAAAATTGAAGCTCAGAAAAATTCAATATCACACCCAAGGTCATAGTGCTCCAAATGAAACCCCAGTTTATTCTGTGTTTTCTATTTGCTTTTGTTGTTTGCATAGCCATTACTTACTTTGTCTTAGTCAAACTAAAACGTATCGAATCTGGCTTGTATAAAATGGTGAACTCTGTCACCAGAGGGTTTCAACAGAAGATATATGAGCATATATGTTGTAGATGGGATTAGAACATTAAATAAAATACTGGAACAAATGCCTTTAAGTTTCCTCTCAAATATAAAATTTTATTATAATGGGAATCATTAACTCAGATTGAAGAGCAATATAGGCAGATCATCCTCTGACACCATGCCAGCAAGCTCAGCACTATTTCTCAGCTCTTCCCGAACCCACCAGCAGATCAAAGAAATGTTCGGCCCCACAATTGAGCAGCCAGTTGGAAATGACGTACTATGCTATGACAGCTAAGCCATCATTTTACAGACACTTTGTGAAATTTTTACTTTTCTTTGCCAATCTCAGTATAGGTAAAGAGCTAAATAACTTGAAAATAACAAAGGTGGACATATAAGAAAAGTGAGAATCATTAACAAATAAATCAATCCTATTTTCAAACTAGCTCCCTGGCAGTTAAGGCTCAGTATTTTATCATATTGCCAGTGAAACAACACACTTATTTTGGATATAAGAAAGTATAATTAAGAAAGAACTTAAGATGCTTTGAAAGTCGTAATTCTGGAACACAGTCAAACTCAACATCTTGTTGTTTTTTTTTTTTTTTAATTTGAGTTAACTTCAGGTAATGGGTAATATATTCTTGTGAAACATTAAGCCAATGTTACAGAAAGCATTTTTTAAAAGAATGTGCTGTGTGAGTTGGTTTTTCATTCCCTTGAAATGCAAAACCAAATATGCGTACTCTTTCCTGCAAAATGAAAGCAAAATGATCTACATATATGTTCCTGTGAATATGACATCAGGCTGCATGTATTGAGAACAAAAAGCCATTTCCATGTAATGCATATAATATGATTAAATACTGCATGTCTATTCTTTTTCTCTGAAAGATTTTAACTGTATTTTGTATATTTATGTAACTATTGACTTTGGTATAAAAAGACAAGATCTGGTAGCAGAGTTTATTATCCATAAGCCAGAAGCCATAAAACGTTCAGTAATTAAGGTCCTATAAAGACAGCCTCATAGACAAAGAATGCAGGTACTATGGACACTAGAGCGTACAATGTTGAATCTGGGGTCAAAACCATGTGACATCTGGATGATGTGAGTTCCAGATAATTACTAACCCTGATCTTATTGTTTTGTTTGATTCTCTTGGAAAACCAGAAATAGTCTTCCCAAGCCACTACACAGAGGAGTTATGGGTTCTTTTAGTTCCTGACTTCTGCTCAACTTTACAATGACTCACTACAATATCAAACCCAATTTTCATCTACTGAGATGACTTTGAGAAGAAACCCCAAAATTGTCAAACACCCACTTCTATAGATTTAACTCAGTTTCTAGAAAAGAAAAATATATGAGACCTGTTTCTTTTGATTGCGTACTTCAGAGTCAGACTCTCTCTGATTTTAATTCTGGTTCTTGCCAACCAAGTGTAAGGACAATTGGAAATTCAAAACGAAAAGCTTAATTCTTTCGGCTGAACAGAAGGGGAGAGATTTCCCTCCCACTTCTTTTTCTTACAGCATTTACTTTAGAAAACTCATTGTAAGTACTTTCTCCTGTCTTTGAAATGTATATAAAGTCTTTTGAAAACTAGGTGGGCCTTTTGTCAGGCCCAGAAAAGTCTCTTTCGAGAACTTGCGAACTATCTCCTTTAAACGTAAACAATCAAGGAAGACAGCATCCCTGTCTGCCAGTTTCCAAGGAGGATAACACTCTAAGTTTAGCTCAAGTCTGGCTCAAAGTTATAAAATGGCCCCATGTTCTAAAGGTATGAGAAGTTTACTTCGCCTTGTGTAAAGACAGACACAGATTGTCACCCCAAATTTCAGGTGAATTTAATGATGCTCTCATTTTTTTCTTGAGGACCAATTTAATTATTGTTGATCTTGAGAATATGTATATAATGGGGTCGATCTTCTTGGCTATATGAAGGGTGAGATTTCTTCTTCTCTGCAATCTCTTAGCAGATTGCTTAAGATGCACATCACATTCTGGTTCAATGTTTATTCAATACCAAAAAGGGTTTTCTTTCTCTACTACCTTTGCAAAGGGAACTTCTGGGTTAGCAGAAAGGTTTTGTTTAGTTTTGTTTTTAAATTACATTTCCCCAGTGTAGGCTGGGCGCTTGTAACAAAAGAAAGTCATTTTGACGGGTCTATTGCTACCAAATCTGAGTATAGAAATATTCTTTCCTTTATTATTTCCCTGCCCACCTGATGCCTGGGAAAGGTGGCTATCTACTCAGGTACTGTATCAGGTATCTTTATTCTTATAAGACAAATTTACCCTGGCCCTGTAGCCATTTGTCTATCAAATCATAGAAATCTTCTTTTAAACAACAGATAATAATATCCAGATTCCCAATTCTCCCCTGAGATTACAACCATTAACTCTCAGCCATCCAAGATGTATCAAAACTTCATTTTGAGAAATAATGTTTTTGGAAAATTGCCTGAAAAGAATAGAGTGGGCCTTTTTCTCTTGAAAGTTTTATTTTGATCCTTGAATCAAACCAGAATATGAGAGTGGCTTCCACGGGCAAGTAACTTATTTTCCCTTTTCTATGTTCTCATCTGAAGAATAGTCAGAGGAATGGGATGCCTGCTTTATAAGACTGGAACCTTAGACATCAATGGAGATTCTGAAATTCAAAATAAAATAAACTCAGAAAGCTTCTATACCACCAAAGTGGCAAATAAGTCATAGTCACCTTGCTAACAAAACTGTTATCTTGTTAAAAGTTTATCAAAAATCTGCAAAGAGAAGGAAGAAGGAAACAGAAGAATTTGCCTAGTTTGTGTTTTATGAGCAGCTAGTGAATGATTAGCTCTCCAGTTGTGTTAATAACAAATGAACCTGAAAGGTCAGAACCAAATGCATCTAATAATGCTTTTGGTAATCAATTGACCTTCAATTTGAAAATAATATACAGTAGTCACAGGGATGCATGTAGCAGGTAATACAAAAAGGGACAGTCTGTTTATATCTCATTCTGCTGTACGACTTCCACAATTAAGCCTGTAGAAGAAGAAGTAGGTTATGGAGTGGTTGTGGATAAAAGAGTTGCTGAACTCACAAGACAAGAAATATAATAAAACATAATTGTCAGTACTAGAATTTAATTTTCTCCTAAGTAACTCAACTCAGAAATCATTTATCTCAGTCAGGGAGTATGCTCTGCCTATGTGATGTTAAATACTCACCTACCCAGAGATTACTGCTTGGTGTAAACAGTCAAAATCTATGAAAGTATTCTTTGAAAATCAGTTAGCTGACACAATGGTCAAATCAATTATTTAGGGATCTCATCTGCTTGCATGAAGGTGGACAGTGATCATGTATTTTAAGTGTTACATAAAGTACAAATAAAACATTGTTTGGAATACACTAAGCCTCCAGACTCAGCTTGCACCAAATGCTATGCCAGCCTTATCCGAAGCAATTTCCAAACCTTGTACAGAATGTCAAGGAAAATAAAAATAAAGAATTAGATTTTACTAATAAAATTATACTGAATCTCAACATAGAACAGATCTCTCAAAATTAATCTACCACAAATTAAAGCATATGTTATTCCTTCATGCCACTGGACAGGAATTTGTCACCCAAGTTTTTAGTAATTGAAATAATTTACTGGAACAAAATCTTTTGTGATCCTCCTCCTTTTACTTTCTATTTTGTGTTTTCAGAGTTGAATAACTGATTTATTTGATTGGCCTGCCTAGACTGCCAATGAAGGAGCAAAAATTTGAACATCAAAGCCCTTGGTACATATTTGAATAACCTGAAGAGATTTAAAAACATACCAATATCTTTGTCACCTGCAAAGTTTCTCAACTTATTAATTAGTCTGCAGTGGATCCCTGTCATTGGTGTGTTTCAAAAGTCAATTACAGGTGATTCTCATGTTCAGCCAGAGTTGAGAAGCACTGAGCTAGATGCTAAGTGGAACTGTTTTATTGAGTTAGTTCCTTTTAAATGAACTTTAGAAAGGATGTGAGTTATAAAAATGATGGGTAAGTCAAATCAGGTATATCTGACATGTGTTTGCATTTAAAGGAATTACTGAGTTAATTTTTAAAAAGTACTATCTACAAATTGTCTGATTTGATTCAAGAAATGACAGTCTGGCAGTAAGTAAGACAAACTAATGTCTTTAGGAAATGAAAGAAAAACCAAGGGGAAAATTGTGAGATACCATCAAGTGCTCTTCCATAATTCTTTATTTGCAGTGGGTTTGTAACCGAAATGGTTTATTCCTTTAGGCCATAGAGTCATAAGAACAGAATTGCTTTACAAAACTGATGTTTCTTGGTTGATGTTGTAAGTAAATAAATAACAGGGAAAAGGTTTGGGGGAAATATATGGGTCAATATTAGTCTGACCACATATTATAAGAGTCGTAAAAGTTGTTAAATTGCTCCAAAATGTGCCAATATTACTAAGAAGTACAATACAGCACATTGGAAGCACAAAAAGTCCTTTTGCTTAATTATTTACATTTCTTTTACTTCTAACAGTTACTGTGTCTCACAAATGTTAAACTTCAAACTCTAAATGAGATTTTTCATATATTCCAAACCTGAATCAAAATCATTTTATGGCAATCTTATTCACTATCTTAATTTTAAGTTTTGTCTTGAGGGTTGTAATAATTGGTGTAAAAAATGTAACTACTACATCTATACTGTTCTCTTTGGCTCACAAAGTCTTTTGCATTGCCTAACATTCAGTAGTTCTCAATTTGTTAACCGAACTGGCTGTTTTTGTAATTTAAATAACCAATTGATTTTCTCATGTTTTGTGTAGAAACACTCTTACTGTGTAGTTATAGCCTATGTGAACTTGAACCAAAGTTATTGTATTTGAAAGAAATACAAAGCTTACTATTTTTATATTCATCTGAATGTGCAAAATTTATATAATCATTCTTATATTTTTGGACATATATATTTGTCTAATTTTTCACTATTATACAATTTGCCACCATTATACTGAAAGAGCTAACGTATTTGACAAAAAGTTATTAACCTTAATATATAAAAAGGGAGTTGACTACTCAATAAAAATATATTACCAAACCAATAAATTTTGTTTTTGCACTTTTGCCTAAGATAGTGCAAAAAGAAAATACATAAACAATAAAGACAAAAATAACAGAAGATATACAGAATTTTAACATGAAAGTTAATATTAAAACATAACTTGCCTTTTTTATTTGGTAAGTATTTTAAAAGGTGATTTTAAAAGGAAAACAATGAGATCACATAGGTAGAAATATAAATTAAAAATAGAGAAATTTGGATAAATATATTTATCTAAATTAAAGATCCTAATTTAGATTAATATAGACACTAGACAGAGAATAGTAGAGTACCCAAGAGGCACAGACTGCAGGCTGTTAGATTTGGATTCAACTTCTGATGGTGGAGACACTTCCTAGCTATTTGACTTTAGGCAATAGACTGAGTTCCTATAGCCTTAGTTTCCTCATCCCTAAAAAGAATTATAATAGTACTTAAGAATATTTTATGAAGATTCAGTAAAATAAAGTACATAACACTGTTTTAAATGTATAGTAACCTCTCAGTACACTGGCAATTATAACAATTCTCAATGCTGGCAAGACTGCATAGAGGCAGATATTGCTAAACATACTCCTCAAAGGGTAAATTACTACAATTTTCCAGGATAGAAATTTGGCTACATATGTTGAGAGTCTTTCATATGTTCATACTCATAAAACCTATAATCCTATTTTTAGAATCTTATCTTAAAAAGTAGGCAGAGCTGTGGTCAAGGATATAAATGCATACCTATTCATAACACAACTTAATATTTTAATAACTAATGTTACAGCAGAAAGCCACATCAGTCTTCTACAACAGAGCTTTTTAAATTTGCAGAAATCGGGATGCCAATTCAGGAAAAGTAGATAATATGCCCTAAATTGTGGAAAACATGGCTCAGAAAAGAAAATTCAAATGATATGTGTAATTGTATCATTTTTACTTCTCTTTCATATTATGCTTGTTTCTTCTTAAAATTGGAGGCTGCAAAATTAAGCATACTTCTTTTATGAGGGTATTTTAAATGAATGTGTGAGCTCACCCAGTCCCTTCTCAGAGATAAGTTTTTCAAAAATCACTTTTTTTCTCCCATTTTCCACTTTATCTGAGGGGATGTAGAAGAAAAAAACACTGTTCAGTTATTCTTGCTCTTGAAGAATACAAAGGTAAACCATGAAGAGAACATTTCTTTACAGAAGTTTCGTCTTTGTTTCTAGGATATAGCATTTTAAAAAATATAAGAAAGTTGTTTGAATTTACTTTTTACTTATCAGCTCAAAACATTAAAGTAGATAAACATTTACATGAATGTAGAGGCTATCATTGAGCTGGTATGCCTTTGTCTGTATGCTGCATGGCATATATAAAATTCACTTGGGGAAGGTGGGGTTGGGGGTACTCAGTGAGCCTAGCAGTCATCTTCCTATGAACTGAAACTGACATACCATGAAATACTGTGTCTCTGACCCCAAAAGCACACCATATGGATTATGGGACATCCAATGCCCCTCTAGAGAAAGAAGACAACAGTGATGTCACATATGAACCCAAAAAAGAAGTCACAATGACAGGCACTTCGGGCAGGAGTTGGTTTGTGGTCCAGGTATGACACACAGGGAACTCTAGTGCTACCTTCTACATTAAGAGGCAGCAAAAATTCGCTTATTTCACTATCAAATCCTTCTGACCCACAGAATGGAACAGTTAGTAATAATTCTTTCTTTTTTTTTAAAAAAAAGCACAATTTTGTTAATATTAAAAAAATAAGATTGCTTTATTTCTACAATCACATGGAAATGGATAACTAGATGTCCAGTGCTATCTTATATTTACCTCTTTGGAATCAAGAGCTTCATGTTCAGGAATAGCCACCATTGGATGACTCAGCTTCACAGAAAAGATGTCCAGGATATGATCAGAAGTAAAAGTGAGAAAAAATAAATGTTTAAATTTTATTTAAATAGACTGACAATAACATAAATATTTCATTGCAGATAATAGTGGATTATACCAAGTTAAACATTAAGATTCAATTGTCATAAAAAGACAAAGGAAGATATTTTGGCAGAGGGTGAGTATAAGACCACGTCTTATTTAGTTTTGTGTCACACATCATCTCTAACAGTGCTTAGCATATAGCATAGACCCTCATTAATTATGTATTTCATGAAGGAATTGTCAAAATGCACTAACAGATTTCACAGAGAGGAAACAAAGTTAAATTTATGTTTCACCCCTCACATATAGGCCTTTAATTGAAAAGCTCCAAAGCAACAGCAACAAACCAAGCCCAGACCCACAGTAAATGTAGATGCATCTATAGACAGTACTTACTGGAAATGTAAAATATTGTGCTTTATTGTGACTATTAATAATCTCAATACACAGGAACTTCATAAACATTGCAATCTCACCAGGTGATGTTATTATAACGTAATTTATATCATAGTGACACTTTAACAGAAGTTCTTTTCTTAATGTGGGAATTGTAATGCAGGACTTTTTATTATTGCCTGGGTCTTCTGAGAGCTACACATAAACTTCATAAGATAGAAGAAAGTCATCAAGATGCAAGAAAGAGAGAGAGACAAACTAAGACCATTTATCCTATCTCCAGCTTTAGAATAACCACAGATCCAGTTTGCCAGGAACATTTCTTATTTCTGCCATTGTCCTCGGCAAACCCTGGCTATTGAAATGATTGGACCCCTTTCACTTTCAACAGGGTCTTGCTTGGGCAAAAAGGTCTGTGGACAAAGACCAGCTCTTAATCCTCCAGAGCAATTTGGAGGAGGCCAGTAATTTAGCCTGCCTTGGGGAAGACTCTTACCTTGGCTGCTAGGGAGGCCAAGGAGGTCTCCACCTGACATTTCCTCAGGTTTCCCTTCACTCCAACAGACATTCAAGAATCAGTCAGTTTTTATTTAAAGTTATAGGTTCATCAAATCCAAGCCCTTACACTCTGTTCCCAACTATAAAATCCTTTGGGTATCATAGCAACAGGACTCCTTCTAGCTGCCTGAGACCCTTTAAATAGAAGTATGATCTGGCCCTAGAGCCAACTAGAAATCTAAATAGCATTCCAGAAAGCAGCTGGAAGCACCTCCTTTCACCTGTTCATCAGAGTCTCCTGAGATCCTAAGCATGACTTAGGGTCAGACTCTAGGTACTGCCTCAAACTTCAAATCCAAGTGATTGATCCTGGAAATAGCATAGTCATTAGTACACCTAGGCTAAGTAGTACAATATTTATGTGAATCATCAGAGTTTGTACAATGTCAAATGTCCAACCTCCTAATCTCCTAAAACAGAAAAGAATCATCTTGAAATTTTAAAATCTTGGTAATATCCCATTAAAGCACTCAACTGATATTAGAAAAGCAATTGAGTCATTATGTGATGCCTATTGCTATATTCCATTCTTCCTTTCCAATACAGGTATTCAGTAATTTTAATCCATTTTATTTTAATCTTGAATTTCAAAAACTATCTGTTGATTATCCTAATCAATGAAAGAGAACCAAAAATGACTGATCCTAATTAACTGGTAATCCTCAAATCATTTCTATTTAGCTTTGGAATGCTTTCTTCTGTTTATGATCTTTTGTCACAGGTTTGTCTTTTTAATATTCTTAAGCTGACTAAAAATGTGATATTAACGTGATGTGAAAATTTGTGGATTTAGTCATAATAATTTATTACATACTCACATAATAAATTCTTTATATGGGTTTGTTCATTTAGTTTTCACAATAACCTGGTAAGGTGAGCACTAGTAATACCCTGTTTCACAGATGAGGAAACTAAAGCACTGAGAGGTAGAATAACGTGTTCAAGGCCCAAAAGTAGTAGGTGAAACAGCCATGCTTGAATCTAGCCTGAGAGTGTAAGAGACTGCTCTCAAATCAAGTGTGATATGGCAATACATCCATGGGAAGATACGCAGTAAAAGGAAGTGGGGAAGACAGACAGAGACAGCGGAAGGGAATGTAGTATGACTATGACATTTAGCAAAGGGAAAAGCCAGACACTGAAGTCAAGGATGTCCCATTCAGAGACCGGAAGATCTCAGTGGTGGCTGGTGTCTCCACGAAAGGCCACAAGGAGACACAGTACAATGTAACTTATATGTCAGATGAGGAGTTTGAGCTTAATCCTCTTAGGCAATGAGAAGTCCTTCAAGTACTTTAAGTAGGGGACATGTGTGGTCAGATTTTCATTTCAAAAAAAGTCACGTGGCTGATGTACAAAATATGGAAATATGTGGATTGGAAGATATTTAAGTAATGCAGGACAGAAGTGGTGGTAGGGCAGGAAAGTAGGGAGGGGAGAAGAGCGGAAGGGAGGGAGGGGAGGGGAAAAAAGGAAGGAGAGGAGAGGAGAGGAGGAAGAGAAGACTTGAATAAAAATATCATCTCAGAGAATAGAAGACACTCAAGTTTTCTGGGTAACTCTAGGCTTCTTACTTTCTAGGATGAACAAAGAAGCAGAGAGTAGATATGTTGCCATTTTGTTGATTAAGGAAGAAAAACTGGGAACAGAGAGAAATAATGAATGCTAAAATCTCTGCTGAATACAGACTTTGTAATGCATGAGGCCTAGAGATGTCCAATGGGGAGGACAATAACACACAGTATGAAAAATTTGCCAGTCAGAATGGAAACAGTGAAACTAAGCATTAAAACAAGTTCTACATAGGTGAATGGCTTGCTATGCAGAGAGTAGATGAATATTACAGGGCAGAGAGAGTCATCCAAGTTGGCATACTTGATGGTAAACATTGTGAAAAACAAACTACTATGTTGCCTCAAAGAAAAAAATAACTAAAATGTTACTAATGTTAGCATCAGAGCATTATTCAACATGGAAAGATGAATGAAATAGAAAATTCAAGTGAAATGGGATAAAACATACTTTTATCCTGGATAGAAAATCCAGTACTAGATACTATATAAGAGATTAACTTGACCTTTGTTCACTCATCATTGTTGGATAAACACATTCGAATAAAACGTTCAGCTGATTTTCATTACACTGCTGGTCATAGCTGCCACTAAACTAACATAAAGCCTTGTGAAGTGTTTGTTACCACTGTGGGGCTTTCTCATATATACCACCGCCTCTCCTAAGGTAATATAAACAACTCCCACAAAGAGATAAAATCCCCTCACACCAACTGAAGAAATGAGAATGTAACAACTAGAAAAATAATATGCAAAATGTCATTCAATCAGTTAATTAAGTCTTTAATGTACACAAGAAATGGAATTTAGAGCTTTAGCTTTTGTGAAACCGTTCCCTCTTCTTGAGTGGAAATAAAATATGTTTTCTGGACTGCCAGAAATTGTGAAGCTGAGGGAGTGTTACAAGAAGCTTTAACATTTTAAAATCACCACCAGTGCCATACATTCCATCCAGAATTCACTTTTTTGGGATTGCTTTTATGTTCAACCACATCCTCTTGTAAACCTCCTTTACACCATTTGTCTGCAGTCACATGTACCTTCTGCTTCTGTCTCTCCACTTAGATTTGTGAACTACGAAGACAGACTCTCCTAAGACTCTCCCTCAAAAGGAGACATTACAAATTATTGTAGCAATACCCACACAGAATACTGTCTGTTTCATAAGTATAATATTGTCATTATGAGACTAGAAGCCGTTGGAAGTCATAGATTATGTGTAAAACGAACTCATGGTTAGTTGGTCTGTACTTGGCATAGGACCCAGCCAGCACACAGTAGAGACTGAATGAGTATTGAATGAATAAATTAATAAAAGAAGGGAAAATTGATGGCTTCAGAAAAGAGTTTTCTGACTTGTAAAATTAAAAAATTCTGAATTAGTAAAGCCTTAGGAAGTATTAAATGAATTCCTAAAAAGTATCCTCCTTTGCATGAGATTCTGCAAACTGAAGACCCTTCGAGTAGAGCTATCACACAAGGGAGTTCTATTTGATCCTCATATTTCTTTTGCTTTAAAAAGAATTAAGTTTAGTTGTCAGTGTTTAAGTCCAGAGATTATATATGCAGTTGTGTATTTCTGGTTTCTCTTAAACTGTTCAAATCTTTCAACACTAATCTTGCAACTATAAGGAGGGACCTTATAGGTGACTCTGCCTGTGCCTTTTCAATGAAACTAAAGATCTCCATATGAACATAGTCCCACCATTCCTACTATGAGGGACCAAAAGTCAGAGGTTACCTATTATCATGATTATGTAAATCATGTTTGATGTTAGAGATGTAACAATCAGTGAACAGACATTGTCACAGAATATATAGGTACAAACACAAATAATGTGTTAGAAAGTACAAGTACTGAGTCCTATCATGGTTCATAATAAATGAATCTAACCTAAATTAAAAGGATAAAGGAATATTTTTCCATGAGGCTGAAATCCCAGCGATGCCACCTTATTGGAATAAGAGGCATTATGAGTGCCTATGGAACTCGTTGCTGAGAAGAAATTACTCACAATTGGGCTGATTGAAAGAGAGGAAGAAAATTCAGTGTGGATAGGTAAAATGAGTGAGAGAGAGATGTCAGGAACCGAGGACAGAGAATTACTGTGAGGAATCTGTATGCATCAACTTCACTTCAGAGTCATCTGTAAGCCCTTGAAAATGCTTATTAAATGAATGAACACTGTTAAATATGAGTTTTCCTGCAAAGGACAGGATCTCTCATTCCTTCTTATGGCTACATAGTATTTCATGGTATATATGTACCAAACTTTCTTCATACAGTCTATCATTGATGGGCATTTGCGTTGATTCCATGTCTCTGAAATTGTGAATAGTGCTGCAATGAACATACTCATGCATGTGTCTTTATAACAGAATGATTTATATTCCTTTGGGTATATACCCAGTAATGGGGTTGCT